TTTTTTTTCAATAGCGAGTGGACAGGCCACCAATCTAGCCAGAAATGCCCCATCTAGAGAATGTGTAGAGTTTGTCTAAGGTCTATTTTCGGACCATTTAGAAGTCTAAACGGTCCAAAAATTTACCTTAGACAAACTCTACACATTCTCTAGATGAAGCACATCTGGCTGGGAACAGTATATAGAATTATGTCAGATCATCAGATTTCATTGTACTACCTCGTCAGAGTAAAAACTGTTTTTATTACAAATTTGCACAAAAGAGAAAACAAATGTTTTTCAGTGTAAGCACTGCTGAACTTAAATAGATACAAAGGTAGGTAATTCATTTGCTGTCATAGTAAGTAATTAAGTTATTATGAAAAAAAATTAACAGGTAATGTGGATAAAAATTGGTTTAAGCAAAAATAGTCAGTACAGCAAAATGGAATAGATAAAAACAGGTACATATCATTAAGAGTATATTGATGATCACAATTTTAAGATACACCATTGCTTTCCCGCTTTATCTGATGACAGGTTACTTTTGAATCCCATCCACAGGACCAAAGGGACAGCTTGTTTGGGTGCCATGATAATGCACGAGCAAAATCTTCATGACTGTCATCAGTATATCTGAAAGATAAAAACAAATGATTTACTGGAACTAAAGAAAAAATAGTTATTAGATAGTTAAAAGTGGTTGGTCTACATACATTATTTCAGGTGTCTCCTTTTCACAGTCAACTACTGAAACTTTAGAATGATCTTGGCATACAGCAATCAACCCGGTGCTGCAACAGATATTTAAAAAAGAAGTAGACTAACTATCTAATAGTCACTAAGTTTTTTGATGAGATACTGAGAACTTACCAACTTGGTATTGCCCGCATGGAAAAAGTTGGTCTATTCTCAAGCTGTAGTTTTTTTATTTCACTTGTATTTCGAATATCAATTAAAGACACCTGCCCATTGACTCCTCCAACAAGAAGAGAATTATCATTGGCCCAGGCAAGTGAAGTAAGTCCAATTCCATTGGATTTCAAAACACCTGACAAAATTCAAACAATAATAGTTTTAGTAATGAAACAGTAAAATAGAGGCTAAGAGAGGAAATGTCTAACACTAACTGGAGGCTGGAAGCTCATCTCTTGTATCCCACAAAAGAGCCGAACCATCTCTAGAGCATGATGCAAAACAGCTGCTCTGTGTGGGGCGAGCCCGAATGGAGGTAACACTTTGAGCATGAGCTGGATTGAATGTATGTGTTGCTAATAGTGCTTCAAGATCCCATACTTTAATACTGAAAACAAAACATAAGTTAGCTTTTGTAGGATCATGGACACAAAAAATTTGTGGCATTTTGATGGTACCTTTTGTCTTGGCTGCAGGAAACAAAGTGAAGTCCATCTCCTCCTAAGTCATCCACATCCAATACCATATCGTTATGTTCTGTAAGACTAGCCTCACCCACTATTGAACCATTACTTGTTGGAAGCTCTGCATATTTTTTGACACTGTTGATTTGAATTGCTCCCGAGTCGCAGCCAACAACAAACTGTAAGTAAATTCTTGGATTAGAAATACAGTAAGGTTTCCAATTAAGAAGTCAAAATAACAAAATACTATGTACCCTATCTGAACACCGTAGGAAACGACCCACTGAAACACCACAATCCAATGAAGCTCCTACAACACATTTTCCGGCATGTGGATACCATCCTTTTTCTGACTCAGCGTTACGAGTTTCTTCAGTATCAAAAAGCCAAATGGAGCCGCCCCACGCACGGGAGTTGAGATCAGAGGTTCCAATCAGTAAAAGATTACCATCTGTAACATAAAAACATAAAACAAAAAACAATCACATCAAAACACATCTAAGTAATTTTTCTTACAAATTTTAGGCAAAAGTAACCATATTAACAACATACGAGGAACAATTAAGTCACAGAGTGTAGTGTTATAGGTTTAAAATGAGAAAAATATTTGGTCATCATAGGGTAGGAAAGTGACAGTATGTGAATACCTAGATAAATAAAAACTCGGAATCTTCTACGAGACCATCTAACCTACCCGGACTCCACTCCAAAAAATCAAAATGTTTGTCCAAAGTTGGTGGTGTTGGTCCGGTTGGCACGATGCGCCGAGGTCCACAGAGGACACTGGAGTCTGACATGGCTTTAGAAGAAAATGAACTCATGGACAAAGGTCCTTGCTGAACTGGAACACGACGAGACACTTCAGCACGTGCAAAGGCCTACGCCAAACGTCGTCTTGCTTGACGCCGGTGTTTTTCATTCAAGTTTAGTTTCACGCCGCGCGCACTGGTGGCGCTGCCTGTCTGGATTCGCGGCAACTCGAACTCGGTTCGACAAACGTTCCAAGCAACGACGAGAGGGAGCGCCACAATCAATAGGGTTGGTGTTCGGCGGGAAATGCGAAAACGTAAGGTGTCGTCAGCGTCAAAAGCTTCACTGGGAAGAGACCTTTACTCGTTAACGCCTAGTAGTATCATCCCTCTTGTCATATGTGATACAATTACCGTTTTTCGACGCTGAAAATATTCACACTTAACTTATTTGCCGAGACAGCCTACGAGAAAAGTCACACAGGGAAGACCATAACTTAACAGGTGGAGCAGTTGAGCTGTCCTGAAGCTTGGCTCATATCGTACACTCTTAGTTCCTTACAAAGAGTGGTCTTCATGTTACGAAGAATTGGGTTTGTATTGTAATTAGCCTACAAAGAATCTGGAAACACCAAATTACGAACAGATTATCTTTGTATTACAAAGAACACCTGTTTTTGAACAGACTCGTGCTCTTCGTTTAACAAAGGATTTGTTTGTATTACATAGGTTCCAAATCCTGAATACGTTACGAAGAGCAGTTCTTTGTAAGAAACGTACAGTGTACAGAGAAATGAAGCAATTTTTACCCTCTTGGCGTGTGAATTACAGATACAGATACAGAGAATAACAGATTAACAGAACACACTGACGGATGCATTGTACCGAGTGTAAAATTATGCGAATGCGAAAAAAATTATGCTAATATTCCCTAGTGTTTGCGGGTTTGCATACCCAAGGAGCTGGCGTCTCGGGCAGATCGGGTAGGCAAACCCGCAACACTATGGTGTATTGCCCTTACAGACGGGGTACTTGGTAATGCGACCATATGATTTTCTCTTTGTAAAAGCGTGTGTATTTAATTAACTGCCGCCAAAATTTAGCTTGTGTAAAATTTGGAAGTAACTATACTGTAACTATCCTCAAATTTTGCACATATTTTTATACAAAGCGCTACACAAATTATTCCCGTTTGAAATTCTGCAACTTCATGCACAGCCATTTTCTAGTCAAATCCAGTGATTTTTCCGGTCACAACAATATGGTAATTTTATTTTTCCAATCACATCCAGTTAAATCCAGTCCCTTTCCCCCACCCAATAACGCTAATGCAGATCCCGTCATTTTCTATCGCAACTAATATTTCGAATCTTAGTCAGTGAACACACTATCTTCCTTAAAGTGATGTAGGAAGTTGGTGTATGAACACTCATTTCCTTTACCACGATTTCCTCATAGTAATGTAGCCTGTGATCCTCTATCAGACGACGCGCTGGGCGAATGGGGAAAGGAGGGGGG